GGTTATAAAGAGCAAACTTTTTCTGCAGAGTCTTTCTAGTGATTATACTTAGTAGCCATGTGCGATTGCACTAGCAGCAGTTCATTTTTAACATTAGTTAACAGAATTTAAATGGTACTAATTAAAAAACCTTTAAGTGTTGTAAATACTGTTCTAAGATGTCTGTGCATAAATCTACTGGAGATAGATGTTCATAAGAGCTACTCTTTTACATTCAGGTACAAAATCTAGTCCTATGTAAGATAGCCCCAGTGACTAAACATGACTAGAAACAGTCCTTCAGTACAAGCATGTTACTCAGAAAAACAGATTGTGCTCAGCCTGGAGTCAAAGAACAAGAGTAAATACTTGCACAAGTTTATTTTGTCCTCACTCAGACATCAGTGTTTAATGAAGAACCTCATATCCAAGCAAGATAAGTCTGTCACTTGTGCAATAGGTCACGTTTGTGCCCAAACACAGCAGCAGGTGGGCATACAGTTCAGTGCTACGATTCCGTAAAAAGAACAAGAATCAGGCTGAGAGCCTAATATAAAAACTGCATCTCATTCTCTGTACAAAGAAAAGATACCTAAAAATGACCTTTTTTACTCACTCACGGAGTGAGTGGTGTTCCTACTTGCACTCAGCGCAATTCATTACACTCAGCATGTGCATGTTTCCTCCCTAGTTCCTCGGTGATTAAAGCACAGTTGAAGTGCTGTGTGTGATTTGATTCTGCATTACACTGTACGTCAGAAAAGGATTAAAAATAAGCTCTTGGAGTACAGATTATGTCAAGCATCATGCAAGATGTGACAGGAGCATTAATGAATCCAACCCTAATAATGAATAAGTTGGGACAGTTTAGCCACAAATCTGTATTTTGTTTTCCAATGGATGTCTTCTATAGGGTATTTGTCAACAAGAATTAATGCATAAGTAATTTTTTCAAATGGGTGAAGTCATGTTGTTTCAGTATACAGGAGTAAGCACTGGAAGCAGTAGTTCATTGTCAAACATATATACACTGATACTTGAAGAAACTGGCGTATTAGGAAGTACCAGGAATTTATTATCTTTAGGACAAATACTGAAGACGTGGGCTTGTTTATGCCATCACACTGGCATATGCACTTCCCCTGCAGATAGATTGCCTTTCTGCAATGGCTGGAGAGCAGAATTATTAACATTAAAGGATCTTTGGTTTTCTTATATACTCAGTGTTTGAAATCCATTCAGCAACACAGCTGAGTAGCTTTATTTCATTGCAGCATAATTTTTGATTTTTATATAATGGATGGTTTGGAGCCAACACAGCCATCTGTTCACAGGGAAATTGCGTAGAACAGAAGATGCACTTGCCCTAGCAATAGATCCTGGCCTTGTGTTATCCACGGCATGGATCCGATCCAGGGCTGCACTGCCCAGGTGAGAAGCAGAGCCCCTCGCCTACCACGCGGCACCGCCCCTCTGCAAAGGCAGACTGAGACACAGCACATGTGCTGTAGTTCCCACCCACATCAGGTTTCTCATTTGAGCCTGAGAACCACACTGGAAAGCAATTCAAATCCCATCAAATACTGCTCCCCAGTGCAATGTCAGTAAGGTTAAAAACATCCCCAACAATGACAGCTGCACGCACACCACAACAGTCACATATGGTGGTCCTTGCTCCCCGCATCTTCCCTGCTACAGCAGTCCAGCGTGGCTTTTTCTTCTCAAAACGAGTCTTGAAAAGACTCTCAAGATAGTAGTAGGAGGCTGAGACTGAAAACACTTTTGTCTCCAACCTTCACACATCCCTGAAGAAAAAACCCTAGAACAATTTTCCAGCAGCTTTTTCATTTACGAATAATGCCTTAGCATGCTTCAGCTTTACAGCGTAAAGGCTGGTCAGAGCAGGACAGAGCCCAGGCAGAAGGGTGGGAGCCCCTGAGCACCCCAGCAAAAAGAGCAGGAGGTGCCAGCTCCACCTGCTTTGTGGCCCCAAACTGTGGTAGCAGAGTCAACACAGCCCTTCTCATTTTCTGAAGAGAAAATTTATCCATGTACAAACTGCAGATCATGACTTGGGGCCTTTGGGAACTACTGTCGTGAGAGCCTCTGCAGACTTCTAGCTGCAGCACAGAAGGTGCAGTCCTTTCAGTGTGGTTTGCTCTGTTCCCTCAGAGTAACATTTGGAAAAACCTTATCAGTTTTTTATATTTGTTTATATGGTCATTAATACTGGTTTATATATTGTTTATATGGTCATTAATAACCAGTCTGGGTTTCTTTTTGCTTCAGTTGGGGTTTTAGGGTGGATGTTTTAGCAGCTCACTTGTATCAAAAGAGATTTTGTGGTTGCCTTTGCACATCTAGCCTTTGTTTCTGAAGACACAACCAGCCCTCAGCTCCAGCCCTGCAGGCACCCCTAATTCTGGCCTTTTGTGTGCACTGGTCTCTTCAGTGCAAAGTCTCTTTAGCATGCACGAGGGACAGACAGAGGTGCCATCCCTTCCCAAAAACTGGAACGCACAGGTCACCCCCCAAACACCAAAACAAATCTTTTTGCTTCTCAGATGCACTCTACCTCAGCTCACCTTCAAACCTTCAGCATTTTGGATTCAGAATTGGACTTCTCAGAACCAGGCGAGAACCACGAGCTTGCCAGTCGTTCTATAGTTTCCAAAAGCACCATTAGTCTTTAATTAAAGAGTAAAGATGCTCTGAGGTAGCCAGTACCAAGGCGGCATGACCTGAGCTCACAGACCAGCAAGGAGCCAGGCCCCAAGATGTCTGTTCTTCCTTTGGCCTTTTTATAACCTCCCAGATTTCCCCCCCAGCTGACCCATCCAGCCCCCCCCAGGTGATTTCAATCCCCTGTCTGTCCTGGAGAATTGGAGAATTTCAGTGGTCATCTGTTTTGCAGAAAGAAGCGATGTAGCCTAACCCTGTACCCTGCAGCACTTCAGCAGTCCGTGGGCATTTTTTTGTCCTGGATGGAGAAGGTGGCAGGATGGTGAATACCCCTCTTCTAACAGCAGTTCGCAGCTAGATGAATACACTAAATTGACAATTTAAAGAATGAATTTCAGCTACTAACACGGTGCTGATAGATAGGCTGAAAGCTCAATGTAGTAGGAGCACGAGACGCTGGAGTTTGCTGTGGCCTTTGGGTTCGTTCTGCGGTGATACCCTCAGGCCTCTGCAAGGTGCCTGCGCGGCCTCGCTCAGGGCCTCCGTCTCAGCCAGGGTAAGGGATGGAAAACCTCCGGCGGAGGAGGAGGGGAGAGTCGAGCCCTCGCTAGCCTGCTGGCCGCGATAGAAAAACCGGTGTGGACATCGTTCCTGCTGTTAGAAAAGAAGTAATTGTGGGCAGTTTGTCTTGGGACCCTGCCACTGGGTGTTAATGCTGTAAGAGAAAGCGTGTTACACTGCAATGCGTATGTAACTCAAACTCAATCCCCAGGCATTTCCAACTGCCAGGTACAGATTTATTTAGGTGCCTGGGGAGACCGTCTCCCCTTCTCCCAGCCCCGTGGGAGATGCGTGTTCCCCATCAGGGCCGCCTGCCCCTGCCCCCCCGACTGCTTACTCTCCCTTGCCCCCGGCTACAACTGCTCCTGTGTATTTCAAGAAATTAAATTAAGTATAAGGAAATGGGGCTGGAGGGTGAGGGAATTCAGTTTGGGGTTTTTTTCTTTTTTAATGGCGTATGGAATGGCTCTGTGAAATCCTAAACTGGCATGCGGACAAGTGTTTTGTAAACTCAAGAGTACATGCAGCCTCGGTTGTGCTAAGTGCAGGGGACAAAAATCAAGAACCATATAAGCCACTGTCCAAACCATCTGTTCAAGTCCTCTGCCTTTCATTTCTGTGTAGCAGAACATAAATTCATTATTAAAATAGCTTGGCTGTGCACAGCAGCTGCTATAATTGCAAAGTTATGCAACTTTAAATGGGAAATTACAAAGTAGTTTAAAGCAAGAAATTGAGCTGTTTCAGTAGAAAGGATTTCACAAACCTAACACGAATAGAAGTGCTTTTCTAGCTATATTTTCAGCGTTTCAGGGAAAAAAGATCTTACTTACAGTTCGTGCAATATAGAAAAGTCTAACAAAGTGAATGCAGGAAGAACTGGGGAGAAAGTTTTAGACTGGGACAGACCAGGGCCAGGCATGACTTGTGACATGGCTGCACCCCACACTGCTGGTGGGAGATAGCAAGCCCTCTGTTCCTCAGTTTTCCCACTGAAATAGAGAAGACCATGACCTTCCTTCGCATAGCCCTCGCATCTGTTTCAGGGTCCATCTCTCCTCTGCAGCGCAGTGCAGCAGTGCTGCAGCTATTGCAGATCCCAAAGTGGGAGAACTGTGCTAGCCCCTGCTGAAGCCCGCTGTTGTCATGTGGCTGCTTCCAGTATGTGACCGTCATCTTGGGCAATACTGCACTGCAATGCATTCTGCAGCACAGATATTTCTTCTGCCTGCTAAGCAGGGCCTGCTTTGCACCGTCTATATGTATAGCCCGTATCACAACGAAAGTCTCTCTCGCTTTCTGTGGGTGCTTCTTCCTTGCTCAGATGCTCTGATAATTCAGACAGTACAGTAATAAAAAATATTTCCCTCTGATGAGAATTAAGAAAGTGAAAATGAAGAAAAATCAACTGTAAGATAAGTTTTTAGAAAAGCTAGTCTTGTCCCACTCTGTGATGGATGTGAAGCAAAGTTATTGAAGAGCCTTAAGTCTATGTATGTAAAATTAGATTACAAGCAAAGCCTCTGCTGTTTTGTTCTGTCTCTTCCTCGTATCTTCCTTCTTCCTCTGTAAGTCAAAGACAGTCTGATATATGGGTATGGTCTTTCCATACACAATTTGTATAAGCCTCAAATAAGCAGAGGGTAGAAAAAAAAAAGTCATACTTTTTTTTAATTGGCAGATTTTCAGAGTCCAGGAGGAGAGGAAACATTTTAAGCTCATACTTTTTAATCTAGATAATGTCAGTACTAACACTCTTACCCTTTCCCTTCATCCAGGTATCACTGTAGATAAGCATGGATTTATTTACTTCGTTGACGGTACCATGATTCGGAAAATTGATGAGAACGGTGTGATCACAACAATAATAGGTTCGAACGGCCTCACATCAACCCAGCCATTGAGCTGTGACTCTGGAATGGACATCACTCAGGTAGACACTTGGTTTTCATGTGTTGTCACTTTTCTACATATTGTGGAGACAGATAACTTAGTTTCCTGTACAAGGATTATATATCAGAATATGCTGGATGAATCAGATAATTCTGGACTGCACAGTATGGAGTAGATCTTCCATTCACATGATTATTTTAAGGTGTACCATATAAATGCAAAATTATACACTTGATTTTTTTTCCAGGACATGGCATATGAATGTGTAGAGTGACTTATATAAAGAATACATAATGCTTTAGAAAGTTGCTTACTAGTCTTGAGATATATCTTCTACGGAGTTTATCGGAAGTTTAGAGTGCTTTCCTTTAGTCCAGCATGCAGACTGATTTGCTTGAACTACTAAATGGAAAAAAAATGCATATTCTGTTTACATCTAAGTCTGTTCTAAATCATGGAGGAGCATTACAGTAAGTAATTACACAACAGCAGTATTGTAGTGAAGCTACTGCATTTCTATACATTTCTCAAAGTGCTTTTCAGTTCTTATTTCAAGAGCAGTGTAAAAGAAATTGGACTAAAGACACTTATCGCATCTATAGTTTATGCTAAAAAAGATATATAGATAAACATGAAGAAACATAAATGGTACTCTTGACCAGTCAGGGAGCCACACTTACAGATAGCACGAGGAAGGGATTGGCCTTTGCCCATAAACACTTGAATTAATCAGCTTCAAAATGGGATAAAAGCCGTACTTGAAAAAATCTTGAGGCATTCAAGTAACATACTACAGTTATATTATGGGCCGTGTAAGGTAATAACCCGGATCCAGTTAATTTTGCATTTCATTTTCTCCCTGCCCTTTTCTCAGTCCTTCACAACTGGAAAATCACAGTTAAAATAAAGTGTGTAACAATGGTAAGAGCTTGTTCCTCGTTGCTAAGTAGACTTTGAGTAATAGCGGGTGACTATGATCTTGTATTCACGTACATGAAGAACGTGGGGTCAATGTTTTGGGTAGTTCTTACCAATTTTCACAGGGGCAAACGATGGAATCTAATGCTGCTGTCACTGAAGCACTTGGGGATTTTATTAGTAGAGTCAAAACAGAAAAACATGTTCTTGTTCGATTTCACCTTTGACTGCACTCTGAGTACTGGCAAATGTGGGGAGGGGAACCTCAGCTTCCCTGTTCCCAGTTCGGTTCCTGTTCCCAGGATAGACAGGCCTTTGTATTCTCTCTGGTCCACTAGACACATAATTAATTATTCCATGTAAAGGAGGACAGGGTCAGCTGGCTTAGTTGCGCTAAACCCAAGCTTAAACTAGCCTAGTAATTGTCTTAAAATCATATGGCTTCTGGGCACCTTGGCTTCTGCTCTGGCACCTCTTCTTGCAGGCTAGCCAGTCCCGCAGCTGAGCAGGAGCCCGCTACGGCAAGCAGTGCTCCCCAGCTGGAGGCACTGACTCTCCGCTCCATTGCTACGCACCAGCTGGCAGGAGCGATGCTTCATGGAACTTAAAGCTGCCTGAAGCACGTTTGCTTGCTTCTTGGATACATACAACAACTGCCTGGGGCATCAATAACCAGATTAGAGATCTCTGAGGTGCAGGGAACGGTGCCAGGTGCAACGTCTGCTCCCTGCCTTCTCCTTGTGATCTGCATCTCAGGCTGTACAAATAATTGCTTTACTGGCCGTGTAATGTGCGGCTGTGTATTTATGTTCAAATTTTTGCTCGTTTTGCTCAGTAACAAAATGTCTCACTAAATCTGAAATGGTGAGTTTTGATGGTTTTCAATTCCTTTTAAAAAATGCAAATACCCTTTGGCAAATAAGTTGCAGCAGGGGGGTTGGCAAATGCAGAAACAAAATGATTTTTTTTTTTTTTTTACATTAAAATGAAATTAAAAAGGTAAACTTTTTGGTAGGCTGGCTACTTGCCAGAAATGGGTTTAGTTTACCTTACTCCACAACACAGTTCCAATGCCATGGAGAACGGGCTTCTGCAAAATCCTAGTAAGAAAAAGCATGCCATAGCACAAATTCTTCTTCATATTGCTCTCAGGACATCAGCACTCAGCTTGGGTAGGGCCTTCTTTTCACAGAAGCAGAAATAAACTTTTTTTTTTTCCCCGTGAACAATCCAGGTGCTTCCATGCTGCAGCACCTACCAGAAACTGTCGCTGCATGCTTCTCAAAATTTTGCAAATGTTTCAGCATTCTAGGAAATCAAGATATGTTCTTACCACATAGATTGAGATACTCTTCAGATAAATTGAGAATGCGTGCCAGAAAATATTCTAAACAACATAATAAATGATGGCATGTTAAAGTGTCCCTAAAAAGTGGCCAGTCTCATCTTCTAAGTATAGTAATACTTGCTGTATAATTTTCTGTCACTGATAGGTGAAGTCACGTTGACAATCTGCAGTACAGATGTACATGTAGCTTTTGGAAGCATTTCTTGTTTGGAGGATTTGTTTTGTGGGGGTTTAAGTGAATCTACTTATTGGAATTTTTCACAAAATCCATACTTTTGAGGTTTTTCACATACACAGTAAAACACAGACACGAAATAAATGCCGAGAATGCATGTTCTGAAAAGTAACTGTATCAAATTTGCTCAATAGTCTTTTTCCAAAATTGTTGCTGATGCCCAGAAAATTCTATGAAATAATCACATCCCCTTGAAGTCAAGCATGTTAATCTGAAATTATATCAATGAAAATAAGGGAGTGATATTTTCACTTAGTCAGAAACAATTGTATATCCTTGCAAGACTGCTGAGTTTATTCCAGAATGGCATAAACATAAATGAAAAATGCATTTGGCCCATCTCCACTTAAATTGTTTTTTGGCTAAATTACAAATGGCATTTACATCAAGAGAATGTGGGTTGCTCACAAATTGTGTGTTTAGAGGGACTTATGAAATAGGTTAATGAAATCAATTCTCAAAGCTAAATTTGTTCTGACAATAAAATCAACAACTTGCTCAAAATCAATATTTCTTGATTTACCAAAGTACAAAAATGTACTCTTGAAGTAACCACATAGAATAACTGCCCATTGCGAAAACTACCATAAATGACAAACTTTCACTTTAAGGCATTCACTTTAATAAATGAGTTGATTATGAAAGGGTTTAATCATTTATTCCAATATCAGTTTTGATGGAAACACTTCTTATTAATCATTCTGTGTTTGTTATTCACCACCTTCTCATTCTTAAGCATAGTATTCTGCATTCATAACAGGGGGAGGGAAGGACAGCTGGGGTTGAAAAGATTATGTGTTGTGGCAAATAAACCACCAAGCTCTGACTAATTACTTCGATCTCATACTTCACTGTGAGGATGTTAATCTGAATTTAGAAGGAAAAGGACATTCGGTTGACATGTTTATATGGTATGCCAGCATTCTCAGTACTATTTCAGCATTACAGAACTTGGATGACTTGTCTTCTCAGCGCAGATGATTTTAGTGTTCTTCAATTAGTTAATAAGGAGCAAATCTAAAGAAAATGGCTCTTCAGAGCTAGGATTATGAATATATATGTGTATATACTCAACATTCACCGTTGATGCCAGAATTTTAGCAGACACCTACATTAAAATCAGTTATTCCAGTATCTTTCATTCTGATAGTGCTGGTCATATTTTTTGAAAATGCTGCCTCTGAAACCCTGAATACTACAACGTGAACAAGAGCTAAATTTTAAAGGCAAAATATTTTTCAAGAATATCAAAAGGTGGTGTTGGTCTTCATTTGTTCTGTGATTTTTTAGTATTCACCTCGCTAATCTACAGCACCCAGAATCTGAATGCTGGACTTTTCAGATGAGTGCCCCTGCTGCTCGGTCCTTGGCTTCTTCTAAGCCTGGCTCCCATTCTTCATTTCTTCTTTGGAAGCTGTTTTGTTTTAGGTTGATTAAATGAATAATAAACCCACGTTGAACCTTATACTTTTGCATCTGAGCTGGAGGCCCCATGGACTGAGCTAGCTGATCTCCCAGCTGTACAGTCTACTGAACATCTCCTTCTGTCAAATTGAAGCCCGGCTGAAGAGAACAGAATTACCTGCTACATCTCCTACCTTCCCCTTCGGATAGGAAGACTATTGTAGGTACTCTAAATCAGGGACATAAGCGTTGGCCTAAAATACTCCTACTGACTTCTGAAATCGCTGCACTGTTGACTGCTCTGCGAACTTGCACCAGTAGTAGGCTAGCTGGGGGGACCACCCCGCAGCAGGACCTGTGGCAGGGCCTCCTTGCCACAAGCTGCAACAGGAGTGCTAAGGGAGGAGACTGGGATGGAGAGTGAAAGAAGGAAAAGAGAGGGGAATCATCATTCTGTCTCACTGCCTGGTGAATTTGGGCTTGATCCTGGTCTAGATCAGAGGCATCTCTAGGTTGCTCTTTTTCTCAAATGTGCACACTCTTGTAGCGTTTGCTGCATCCCTAGGGTATACAGGCATTTTTTAGCCTGGTTATTGATAGCAAATGAGAGCACATTGTGTGGCTATGTCTGTCGGTCTGTCAGTATTCTTTTCTTCATAGTAAATCAAAATCTTGGGCCAATTTCAAACAAATTTGTAGACAAACACCAGCCTTCACAGCATTTAAATGCCTACGCATTCCATAAAAATTATTAATCCAGTTGGAGAAGAGAGACCTAAAGTGCCCTTTCAAAAGGAAATATTGCAGCATGAGCTTTCTTTTATTAAACTCCAGAGATTCCACTCAGGATCTAATAAATGCTCCATTCACAGGAAAAGCTTCATTTGGTGCTTGGATCTTATTAAACTCCCAAGTCAGTCAGCCATGAGACGGAAGTCCTTAGGAAACCAGACTTCATTAGATCCAGTGTTCATAGAAGTTACATTGACGTTGTGGGAGGTTTTGTGTGAAAGTAAAAACACTTCAGCTCAGCTTGAGCGATAAGCTTCGCTTCCCTTCTGCCTCCATTGCTGTGGTGAAAGCTGAGGAGAGAATTAGCAGATATTTCTACCATCTTGCAATTTCATCCTGTATC